GCCTGGGTCGGATTAGAAAAAATCGGATTTGTCTCGTTCAGACTGTCATAAAAAAATCGGACACGAGTAAGATGGGTCAAAAAAAAAAAATCGGATTTGTCGCGTTCAGACTGTCATAAAAAAATCGGACATGAGTCAGATGGGTCAAAAAAAAAAAATCAGATTTGGGTCGGATTTGCCTGCAGTGTGAACGTAACCTCTGTTTGAAAACTTAAGAATTATTTAGTTTCCAGATCTTTTTATGCTAAACTTGGAATTGTGCTGAAATAATTGTGCTTTAAAAGGTTTCAACAGAAACCGTCCTGCTCATTACTTGCTACAGCAAGTTCTCTTACAWTAATTAATATCCTACCTGTTGTAGATAGCTAAATGAATGACCGCAACTTGGAAAATTAAAGTTGAAGTCTGACACAACTGATGAGCTAATGGCTAGTCTGACGATYGCTAAGACCAAAGTGGATCTCTGTCGAATTAAAACAACTCTAATTTCAAAACWGTCAAAGCAGTTCATGCAAACGTTGCATTAAAAACTTTTGAACCCTTTGTGATTAAGCAAATAGCAGCAGCGGTTTGCTGTAGCACAGCAGAATGTAATGCACAACAGACTGCGATTACAAGATTTTAAATTAAAATTTCCAGCAGAAATACGACATTCCTGTAGAAATGGCTCAGGGATGCACCAGAAGTGCTACAGCTAGCTGTTACCGCCATTTGTGTTCACAACTAACTACATGACCTCACGTAAACAACAGTGTAATGAAAAACAACCAGCGGTGTAAAGATTCATTATTAAATAACTTGTCAGTCCAGTCAGAWTTAAAACTCCTTTCASCCACTTTAAAATGTCTGAACTATCCCCGTCATTGTTACACATGARACAATTCACAGCAACGTGAAGTCATTTCATGTTTTGTATTCCTTCTAGAGACTCACCTGCTGTTTGCTGCTCAAGGTTTGTCACAGATAACAGCAGAAAACTCTGATTTCCTACTTGTTATTAAATGCAACATCAGTCAGCACTGGAACAATTCATTACAATGAAAGTAAAAAAAACAACCTAATTTATTGATAGAAACTGAGTCAGGTTTGTTTGTTGAACAGACTGACAGGCTTTAGTGTCAGCTGATAATATGCTGACCCAGTTTACCTTCATGATAGCTGAACACTTCCATGCTGGGTTCTGTGTAAGGGTTGTAAGCTGGCTTGAAGCGGAGTTTGGTAATTCCTGAAAATAAAAACAATTAAAAAGACAATGTCTGACTGAATGTTGAAGGTTCATAATAAACAAAACCAGTTGGTACTTGTGCATTTATTAAATCTGTTAACTGTAAGCACAGTAGAGATGCTGCAGCTGCACCTTCAGAGTAAATAATATGGTTACAGAGACTTTTTCATTCTGAGCATTTGTACGATTGCTACATCATGATTCTCTCTTGGAAACACTAACTGTGGGAAAAAAACCCCAGCATCTTCTGTAGATCTGTACCTAGCTTGGTGAAGAACTGATGCAGGACGCCCATGAGGTCTCCCAGAGTCAGCCCATAGTCGGCCACCACCCCCTCTATCTGATGAAACTCTGCAAGATGGGTGGCATCTAAGGTTTCGTTCCTGAACACCCGGTCGATGGAGAAATACTTGACGGGGGTGAACTTCTCCTGGTGGATGGTAACAAAYGTATGAGGAAAAGGGTAATGACAACACAAGRGTGCTCCGTACAGTACAGTTCTTTCAATAGTTTGCAAGATTTCAGCTGGATTTTCACTTCCTCTTCGGATCAAAAATTGATAGTAAGGACAAGAGCAAGACGAGGGTTTTAGTTGAAGGTTAAGATTCATGTCTAAAAAACTAGTTTTAACTTCAAAAAATATAACAGCTGATTTTGTCATTGTAACTTTTCTTTAAACCAAACACATTTCTGTCTCTCAATAATCTTATGAATAATTCTGTGAAGTTTTACATATTAAAGCAAAATAATTTGGTCTTTCCAGGGCTTTAAAATAGATGAATATATATCTTCAAACTGAAAACTAATTGCACAATAACAAAAAGAATAAAAATACAATGTTTTTAAGGGAATCACTGTTCTGTTATATGTCCATATTTCAGCTAACCTTTAGCTGTTGGTCAGATGGCTTCAGGTTGAATTCTTTAATAGAGAGAAATTCACGGTAGATTCAATGACCTGATCSTGCAGCTCAAAACAAGCTCAAATCACAAAGTTTTAATTTTTATTTATACAACCCCAATTCCAATAAAGTTGGCTTGTTGTATAAAATAAATAGAAACAGATTACGATTGTATTCTGTTTGTATTTGTTTTACACAACATTCCAACAACACTGGGGTTATGCATTAAAATTACCTGGATGTACTTGTTCCAGTTATGATTATCTAGGTTTTAGATGAGCTCTAAAATAAACAGCTGTGTTGCTGGATGTGCAGCTCACCTGTTGAGCCAGCTTATACAGCATCCGTGCGCTGACCGCTGTAGTGTGAGTTCGGAGTAGGTTTTTCTGAGCCTCCTCTATCTTCCAGTCATATTTGTACCTGAAACACACCAGGATGTTAAACCTGATCCGTCACTGAAGCATGTGAGGTGTGGTAACGTTACTTTAACTTGCGATCACGTCTCACCCTTGTGAACCATAGCCRCCTTCTGAGTGGACCCTCTTTACTCTGTCCAGGTAGTCTGGAGGGAACTGGTGYGCGAGAGCCGGGTCTGAAAAATGACGACTGGTTACCCTAAATGGTTTGGACTGGACTGTGGACTGTGGTAGATGCACTTCCAGTCCAGAGCTTACCAGACAGGAAGAAGGTGTCGTGTTGGTCCCTCGCTGGGTGCTGCTGCGGTTGGAACAGCGCGTCAAAGTTCCAGAAAGAGCTTTCTATGAAGTTGTTGGTCGGCATCTCGCTGAAACTACAAAGAGGGAAAAAAAAAAAAGAGTTTCATGTCGTGTTTGTATGGAAGCCTGTGAACATCTAATTTTCAGTGTTTCACAGCTGCTCACCCCATCTCCAGGAAGATCTGTCTGAACTGTGTTCGGACCTTCATTAGGGGGTGCAGGTGACCACAGTCTGGGGCTATGCCCATGGCCTCAAAATTGTAGGGTTTGAACTTCTTCTCTTTCCAGCTGCCTCTACAGTATGTACATTTATAAAGAACTTTTTAAAACTAAGATTACAAAATGCAAGGAAAAAAATCGGTTAGAAAACATTCAAGATTGAAATAAAAGTATGATAAGGAGGAACCTTAAACAGGTGAGTTAAACAAAACCACTTTAAAATAAAAAGTCTTTAGCTGAACATGCCACCCTGACTTTAAGAGGAAGACTGTTCCAGAGTCTAGAACCCAAAACAAAAAACACACATCCACTCTTATTTGCCATCAAGAGACTGGAATGGCTATAAACCTTGATCCAAAATTTCAAAAGTCTAGAGGGAGCACAAGGGGTTAAACATTTTGGATTAGCAGCTGAAATGTACACAGTTGAACTGTACATCCAGTTGCTATTTTCAGCCAAGCCAAGTTTAGGAAAGTAACACTTGCTTTAGGGGCACGCAACTCTTGTTTCTGGTGGCCTACTGAGAGATTAAAATATGATGACAATAAAACAGGACCAAGTACAGAGCCCTGAATAATCGCACATGTCAGAGGTGGTAGAGAGGATGTGCCATCAGTGATAACAAAACTTTTGATTTGAAAAGTAAAAAGTAAACACTTTAGGAGCTAAAAACCTACAGGAGAGACCATCAAGAYCTACTCTGCTCTCAGATCTGGTACCAATTACATAACATTTCTCCTGATTCATTTTACATTTTTAATCMGCAGCTGAGATGATTAAAAGCATCTAATCTGTGAGGAGCACAATCAGTCCAGAAAGATAAAAGCAAAAACAATTTTAATTTCAGAATGTTTGGATGCTGATTTGAACTAAATCTACTTCATGATATGCTTTTAACCAAACCAGAGATTAGTGCGCTTTTCACGCAGCTGTTATTTCAAAGTCCCATGACTGCAATGAAAACAATATCTGACAGCAAAACCTTTCAACTGTTTGTCCTGCTCTGCCTTTAGGACCAAGTCCAAACCTCTGGACTGGCCCCCAGTTTTTGGGCAGATGTTTCTCTGCGTCCTCAGTCTGAGAGCCTGCACACTGTCACTGYCTGACAGAGAAGCTCAGACAGGACACCTTGTTCATCTGTATCAGTTCAAATAATAAAATAACAAAAAAAGAAAAAGAAAAGACTCACGTAGCTATCATWTCAGAGGTGAGCTCCGTCTCCTGTTTGGACACGGTAGTGCTGAAAGAGCTGCCTTTAGTGATCCAGTAAGACTTGAGCGTCCTGAAAACATAAATTAAAATTACTTCACCCAATTCACCTAATATGCAGTCAGCAGAGAGGGTATCACTGAAAACCTAATAGACAAAACATTTGAACCATTTCCACTTGCAAATCCTTGAAATGTATCCCTGACAACTAAACTAAATAAATCTTACCCAACTGATACTGAAAACTATCCAAGAAGTTTTAGCTCAGAATTGCACACTTACATAACAGAAATTCAAAGGCTATTTAATCTAGTGATAACATGACATTACAGTGCACCAACACACTGCGCTGGCTGGATGATCAAGATGTTGTCTGATTTAGATGCCAACAAATATTTTAGAGAACATTTGAAGGGTGCAGCTACTGCTAAAATCATCTATCAACTTTCTTTTATGAAGGCCAAAAACAATGTGGGACTTAATTTCTTAATAATAAGATGACAAAATGCTGATGTTTGGATGTCTAAACTGTATAATAATAATAATACATTGTTGGTTGGTTGGATGGATGGATGGATGGATGGATGGATG